GTACTTGATTGAGGCCCACGTCTCCAAAGATTCAACTAAATTTTTATGCTGTGTGCGGGGCAACACACACATATACATGCACATAAAATCTAGCAAGCAAACATATGCATAAATATGGTGCAAGCGCTTCTTTTCATCAGGAAGAAAAGTAAATACATTATGCGGAGGAGGAGGGCTACGGCTTATCGCCATTTACTTAAGATATGAATTAAAAAATTGATTTTAAATAAGCAGAAGAAATCTACAGCAGCTAATTTGAAGCAATTTGCCAGATTTTTTCAGAGGAGAAACTGGCGCCATTCCAGGAATTATCAGCCTCACGCATGTTACTTCCTGAATGTTTGATTCTGATCAGCCTTCAGAATGCCACACCACTTCAAATTTGATTTTGCTCCTTCGGCCGATTCGAAAAAGCTTGAATTCACGAAGATACGGCCAGCAAACTTGAAAGTCAGAAAAGGGCAAGACCACTCATTTTGGTAGAAGAGTGGTGGAAAAACCAGTTTTTTACAGTATCATATTGAGAACACATATAGTTTCTTGAAAAAACCGTACCAGTGTTTTGCTGATCCAAAAGAGCATATTCATTTTGCAGTTGAGAATTGAATGCACCCAATTTGGCGCGTAAATCTCGGATCGCCGACTGTTCCACAACATTTACTCTAAATTCATAGACTTATTCACCACTCTGAGAAGGTTTTTCCATAATAAATCTGATAGCTTGCTTACATGGATATTCATAATGCGTTTTTCGGCATTTATACAAATGCAATAAACAGCGGCATGACCTAGGGTAGTCAGTGCGATCTTGCATTTTGCGCAGTTTCGACCAGCGGGCATTTTCCTTCTATGGATTTTCACTGTTTTATGCTTTGTTCTGTTAAAAAATTACCGACAGGCTCATGAAAGGCAAACGTGCGTCAGAGCTGAATTTGAAACCTTGGACGACGAATAATGTTCCAAAATTTCAGTCTCCTAGTTCTTTGGCTTCCGGATAACTTTCGCCTTAAAACTTTCACGCTGCCGTACGTGAGACCTCGTCATACTTGGGAAGTTAGGTTTGAGTGCATTAGGCTCAACTGTATAAACAGAAAAGACCCCTCTGTAACTTTCGACCTCCTAATTCTTCTCGCTCCCGAGATAATAATTTTCCTCACCTAAATTTTCACTAGACCATATTTGATACCCGGGCACGCGAGACGGTTTAATTTGAATTTGCCGAGTCATATGGTGGCATGGAGCATTATCCTAACATTTCAGCGTCCCAGCTTTCGTTTCCCGAGATAATCATTCTTCCTGCCAAACTTTCGTGGAGCCGCACACGGTAACCGGAGGAACACGAAAGTTGAATTTGGGTCTGCGGGGTCGCACGTGACCGGGAAGCATTTTTTTGAATCTTCAGTTTCCTAACTTCTCTGGTTCTGAGTTGGAACTCCTGGATAAAATATACTCGGAACACACACACAAACAAACAAAGAAACACACACTGACGGGCTCTGGACAATGTGCGTTTTGAGCAACTGCTGTAGTACAAAACACGTAAAAACGCAAATTGACAAGAAGTTGTCGGTGTATACGTGTGTGTGTGTGTTTGTGTTGTGTGCTCGCATTATCGCCCACTTTTAACTTAGCAATCAAAAAAGCCGAGAAGCTGAAACTCTTGGAGCATGTCTTCATCCAACTCCTTTTCCTTGGTGTTTTAATATCATTATTCACGTACGTTTTCACCTCACTTATGGCTTCCTAAAAAACATGCAAATTTTCCTGCAGAGAAGCAATTTCGAAAATCAGACAAGCTAGAAGGCCAAAATTTTATGAAAATGTTTCCTGTCAATGTGAAACCTAAGGAATTTAAATTCAGCCACCACGCAGTTCCTGGTTTCATGCATGTACACTTCAAAGTTTAGACTGGCAGTACGCTGAAAAGAGAATTGTTGGCGACGCGTACCGTGCGATCATGCGTTTTGCAGTGTTT